CTTCAATGTGCTGGCGACAGCACTCTATATACAGACAACCACTGCATGTATCGAGGCTACCTATGAACATCATTACTGAAAACTTGGGTTTCAGTATCCTTGGTTTCTTACTACTTATGCCCAGACAGAATATTCTGTTAACATGTGTGCTGAAAACTTTCTCATAAACAAAGTCAAGTAACATTCTTTACTAGATAAGAAGGGGCTAGGAAATAGATACATTAAAAAAAATAAACATCCAAGGATAATTCTTCAGCCACTAGACATGCATGCTTTCAAAGTTATGAACAAGGGGTGGAACCCAAGGTCAAAGAATTCTTATGATTTCTGTAGTGCCATTCGCACAAACTACTGACAAGCAGTGTGGAAAATTCAGTGCAACAGAAGTAGGGTCAAAGCTTGCGTGAGTGCTTTAGAATAGACAAAAATGTACAATATATTCAGAGCTGTCAAGCCACCAGCCTGTCCAGGGACTGTAATACTCATGCTTCGGGAGAAAAAAAAATAAGAGAAAGAAGAGGTAGTTTTAAAAAGATAAAGAGGGAGAGAGAAGGCTGTAACAAATGATACCACAAAAAGAGCACACTGAAGAATAATAGTGATGGGACAGATCATAGAAAACACTGCTTGAAATTAAAGACCTCAGAATTGTAGAAAGGAAGCAAGGGCTTCCAAAAAAAAAAAAAAAAAAAAGGGTTTTTTCTGTGACTTTATCACTAATAGCCTTTAAGCTGTTTCCACAAACAATGAAAACCACCTCTCCCAGATGAAAAAAAAAAAAAAACAAACAAAAACAAAACTCCTTTTGAATATGTTTTCCTTTTTTTTTGAAGTCAACAGCCTGTCCTTTCTCATAGTCATGTGGCTGACCAACCTGAAAAGCTGCTTCTGTAGGCGAGCTGTACAAAAATTAAGATAGCACAAAGAAAGGTACAAAATGTATTTTCACCCTTCTTGGATGGCCTTTGGGAAAGACAAGAAGCTAAAAGAAACGGTGTTTAAGTCCAATAGCATATTGTTTTTCTGTCTGAGCAGTGGGCAAACCAAAGGCCACATGCGTGTGCTCTGAAGCTGCCCAGACAGTAACCAGAAAGAACGTAAGCCGACAGCACAGTGCTGTGCCTGAGGTGGCCCTCCAGATCAAAGAGAACAAGGCTTGCATCTGTGCTACTGTGTCTAAATTGCTACTTCAGAATGAAAATCAGCCACAGTTGTCTATCTCTTTTCTTCCAAAAAGCTGCAAAGGTATTAATGTTGAGTTTTGGACAGACTCGGAAATTTTCATGTATTATGCAGGTTTGAATATTTAAGAGGAAGGTACATATTTGTCAAACAATGCTACCTTTAATATATTTCATTAAATACCCAATATAAATTCTATGAAACACACTAGCACATCACTTACCCCTTGAACTGCTTGAGTTGGTAGAAAGACTATTTCCTCTTGTTTTCCTCTTTTTTAAAATTTCATTTCCAACTGTAATAATATTTGAATTACAAAGCAAGAATATTCTGTAACTTGTGGCAAGGCATCTTTCACCATCATTCCTAGAAGTCTCATCCTAAAAAAGAGGTTACAATCTTTTAGTGATGATTACTTTGGAAAAGATGTTTCCAGTTTAATTTTAAAAAATAATAATACCTCTTACTAATTGCAGGACTGTTGGTATGGAGAGGGCAGTGGGGGTTGCCTCAAGGACAGAAAAGCTTCAAGTATCTATCCATTTTTACACATGGCTTTTTTTTTTTTCTCCTTTGTATAGTGTTTTAAGGGTCCCATAAGTTGTCCATGGCTTAGACTGTCAATTGATGATTTATGAAAATAACATTTAAAATTTTCCTTTATTTTACTTTAAATATTTCACTTCCTGAAGTAGCACAGCTCTGGAGACTGTGCTGAGAAATACCTGCCCAAAAAGCCCCCCCAAAGCTCTCAGAACAAATCAGATATCTCTGTTCTCTTTCTTGAATGGTCAGTTTGATATCCTGCCTTCTAATTAATGAAGATCTGCCAGCAAACCCACAGCTAGTTCTACCACACAGATCTTAATAGTCACAGCTGATTACTTCAGAATTAGTTCTTTCACAACAACAATTAATATACTTGCCTTGCTTTAGTCTTGGCAGCATGTCGACTACTTTTGTTTTTGTTAAATTCCAGTTAAAGTGCTCCAGTGAAGATACTTCAAGCTGCTGATGTGCTACGCCCATTAACTGTAGCTAATCCAATTCCTAAACTGAATAAACGTTAGTTAATATTAAAGTTTTAAAAGTAATACTGACCATGTTTTCAGGAAGGTGGAAATGATATTAGTGTTGATCAGAATAAAATTAAAACAAAATTGGCAAAAAAAAAAAAAAGGGGGGGATTATATAACATATTCAGAATTTTTTTAACTTCCAAATCACCACATTTGCTATCTACATGATACATATATGTGTGTACATGTGTGTGCAAGAGAAAGAGATACAAGAATGAAATTAAGGAGAAGAAAGCTGTAACAATACACGAGCAATTCCAGAGTTTTCAGCTACACAGTAGTTTGATGAGAAAATTAAGATCTACCTGTTCTTATCATAAAGTGGTTCTGTGGACAAACATTTTAAAGCATGCAATAATCAAGGAGAAGCTTTTGATCCATCCCTTCTTTAAGTACATTTTTTTTAAACTTCCTAATGAGAAATAAATTGTCTGATTTTAAAATCAGCATCTGTAACCCTGTATGCAGCATTTGGTAGACAGCAATGATTAGAAGCATTTGATAGCAATCTGGATCAGTTTGTTGGGCACAACAGCCAGCAAACAGCAGAACACCACTTCAGCCATGTATCTGCAGCACTTTCAAACTACAGATCAGAAGCTGGGCTGCCAATCTCTTAAAATAACAGGATACAGTTGTCTAAATAAGTTTGAAAATAAGAAAGCTATTAGAAATAAATTTGGTTTACTGACTACTGAAGAAAATTAAGATAATATATTCTGGGCCAAACATGAAGTAAAATATCTCATCTGCTGTTTAAGAAGTGGTATTTAACTATTGAATTCCACTTAATTATTCAAGGCAAACAATAGTCAGTATTGATGGGACAAATATTTCACCATTTTCATTGCCTGAACTGTAGGAAGCATCCCAGCAATGAGTGGTCTGGATCAAGCAGATTCAGTAGCTGTACCATCAGATAAAACATTTTGATTTTTCATATTGATATGACTAAGTATATACAATATGAATAATAAAGTCAGTTTTACAAAGACATAGCCTCTGTCATAAGAGATGTAACTCAATCACTAACTTCTAAAAGAGTTCATTTTCTCAGCCTGTTCTCATATTTTTTGGGGTTGTTAATCTCACCACATTTATTTGGTGGTGATTTAGTCTTCCTTGAATATAATATAAAAACTATTTTTTGTAATGTATATATAGAATGTTAAAATTCAGATAAATGGCTGTCATCAGTAATGTGTTGGTCGTTGTACTTTAATATCCAAATTTTGACATAACAATTCAGAAACTGGACAACAACATTAAATTCATAGGTTTTAGGGAAAAAATTCATAAAGGAAACACTGAAAAAAGTATTTAACTGTTCTCTCTCAATTGCTTCTCCAAGTTTCTAACACTGCATTATTATTTGGTCCACTTGGATTAGAAAGTGGTGGTCTAAGAGTCCTTCTAGAGTGAGAAAATCATTTTTCTGAAAGCAAGCCAAGACAGATAAGATTACCAGTAAGGTCACTGGTGCACAGAATTGTATAGATTTACATGCAATCACATCACTTAAGAATAGAGTGTTTCAATTTATTTCTCAAAATATTTGTCTTGCTTTTAAAAATAAACAAAATTTACAACTGTACTTTTTTGTAGCTATAAATAACAATGTTTAAAGTAAAATTTACAAAATTTTCCCTGTTCTGATTTTTTTCCAGGCTAAAGTATGCATAAACAGCATATAATGTTGAGTCTGCTTTGAAACAAAGGAATCTTTTCCCCATTTCTCTGAGCAAAAAGTTTTACTGTTACACTTTGCCTAGATAGTAGGTGCAAGCTCCTTACTACAATTTCCTCTCCTAAGGAAGACAGAATTGTAATCTAGCACATATTCTAGTGATATCATCTGGAACAAAACAGAGATTGACACATTTAAGTAGTATGTTCCTCATATTTCAACATATTCACCCAGACAAATTTTTCAATTGATATAATTAATACAAAGTAAAGCTGTCAATTTTCCAAAAGCAGCTCTAAAACTTTTTCCTGTATTATTTTTTCTTATCTCTGTCAAGTTGCACTTACTGAAGTTATTGTATCAGGCTACAACATCTAACTAAAATAGTGTTAAGATGCCAGTTAGTCTTGTACCAAAGTAGAAAATCTAATTAATAAGAAATATTTGATCCGTAATGGAAATAACATTATCTTTTATTTCCATATGTATATACCATATAATCCCCATCAAACAGCATGCTGAATTTCCTGCCTGTGCTTGCCTTATCTTTTTTGGGTCATTTTTTCAGATCATTAAAATATGCAGTTCTTGATTAAAAAACCCTGTCTTCTCATACTGATCGTTTTATTTCAGCAAAGTCACGTCGTATTTTTAACCCTTGTTCATGTTTTCCAAAAGCTCTATATACGTTGTCCCTTTCAAATAATGAAATACCCACCTACAGTTCCATCTCAATAGTAACTATAAAAATGCAGACACTGGTACAAGGCAGGTATTAATATTCATATTGTTTCATTATTAGTCATTATTTATATTGATATTATCATAGTTAGTGGTCTGAAATGAATCATGTGGTTCTCCAAGACTACAGCTTTAAAAAAAAATAAAGGGTTGAGAAAATATCAAATAAAATAAAAAAATCCACATTTCCCCATTTACATGACTGAGGAAGAGGGGGGAGGCAGTGTTTTAATTCTGTGTTTAGTGCAGTGTTTCTCCTTTAGATGAACTTATTCTGCTTTTCTTTCCCTCCCTTCCCTGCTGTCTTGCAGCGAACGTATGTGACAACGAACTGCTGCATTGCCAGAATGGAGGAACGTGCATCAACAACGTGCGATGCCAGTGTCCCCCGGCTTACACTGGCATTTTATGTGAGAAGCTGAAGTGTGAAAGGGATCCAGGAGGCTGCAGCCAAAACTCGGGCCAGGAGGCAATGTCACACAGGTCTCTATTGCTGCTGACTGCTCTACTAGGAGCCACTGGACTTTGCAATATGCTAGACTCCGTATGGTGATGGCATCACATCCAGACTGCTTCAAACGAACGTGCCACATGGAAACAAAATGAAATCCGAGCATTTGCTTCTGAAATCTCAAAAAGAAAAGAAAAAAAAATTCAAAGAGGAAAAAAAAAAATTCACCACATACAAACTAAGGAGGCCTAACTGAACTAAGCCATATTAATCAGTTATGGACAGAGCTCCGAGTCAAGACTGTTCACCCCTGACTCGAGGGAAGCTGGCAGCTGCCTACTCTGTCAAATCAACAGGAGCTGCAAAGCTTACACTGGACTGAAACGGCTTCAACAGACCCCAGAATGAGAAGAGAATTTCCAAAACATTTGCTACTCCTATCCGGTGCACTACTGTACCTCCACCCGGCGCGTGGACCGACCAAATAAAGGCATTCTTTGCTGTCAGTGCATTGTGGGTATAAGGAAATCTGTAAAAGCTGCCATATTGGCCTGCTTCAGCCCCCGAATCCTTTCCGACCTGTGCTTTAGTGAACGTTGCTCTGTAACCCTTGTTGGTTGAAAGATTTCTTTGTCTGATGTTAGTGATGCACATGTGTAACAGCCCCCTCAATACAACTCAAAACAGTCATACCCTTGTATACCTTAGCAGCACTGCGTCAGTAAGATGCTGTGTTCATCTATTGTACAAGAGTGGCTCTAGGACAAAAAGTGTATTTATCCTTTTGTATTCAAATGAAGTTATTTTTCTTGAAATAATGTACAATGTAGATTTTTTGTATTATTGCCTATTTGTGTTACCAGACAATTTGTTAATGTATTTAATTCTAATCAGATAAGAGGGAAAAAAAAAATTATTACTTTTTATTTAATCCTTTTTTTTTTCCTTTCATTTAATTGTGCAGAGATTTCTCTGTATGGGCAACGTGCTGGCATCAAAGAATATCGGTTTACATATATAACGAGTGTAATAAGATTCCACCAAAGGACATTCTAAATGTTTTCTTGTTGCTTTAACACTGGAAGATTTCAAAGAATAAAAATTCCTGCATAAACAGTTCCAGGATGACGTATTGCTATTTATTAAGGCCTTTTCTAGAAAACAAAACAAAACAAAAAATGGATTAAAAATTGATTAAAAAGTAGAAATGCCATCATAACAATCTAACCTGGTTTTATTTTTACTACTGTCTTTATTTTTGCAAACAATTTTACATGTAAAGGGCATCGTTAGGTTTAGGAAGATTTCATCAATTCCCAAGCTCAGAAACGGTATGAAAAGTTGAATAGTTCTCAACTCTGTCCCTGAATTCATCACAGAAATTATTCCAAGACTAAACCGCAAGGTATTAGAGAAGCTAGTGTTTAATTCATTCCATTTTTGTAGATTCTGGCAGTAATTAAGTAGATATAGCCACAGCTTATGTTGTTTCTCCAAAAGCTTCATGAAAATGATATGTTTATATACGCACTAGTCTGCCTAAGAAACTGCAAAAACAGCAATCATAAAAAAAAGTGCCAAGATTTGACTTTTAGTAAAGTCAAATTTAATATTTAGAAGGAATGTCAAAATATACAGCAGCAAGTAGATAAAAAGTGCTGCTCCAGCAAATAAAAGTTTGTTTCAAGTATTGCCCAAGGTGTAATAAATTCTTGTTTCTACCTTTTTTTAAGCCAATTACCGAGTGTGACAGAAAAGGATAGCAAGAATAGAGAGGCAAGCCGAAACCACAGCAGTGTTTCAAAGTCCTGGGAAAAACAACAACAAAAAAAAAAGCCAAAAAACCCAACACCATTAAAATCAAAAGGAAGCAAGATTGTATGAATTAATTTCCTGGTGGTTTTCATCATAATGGTTGTAAATATTTTACCAACATAATAGTCTAGTATGAAAAACAATTAATCAGCAAAAGACAAATTCCTGAGAGAAATAAATTCTACTTGGCTGCCTCTTCCAAATGGTGAACGGAGCAGAATTTAGGGCACTGCCTTATTGGAGAAGCTCTTTCTGCTGAGGAAGCAAGTTTTGCAGGCCAGTATCCAGCCTCCAGAAATGGGTAGGCAAATTAGGTCTTCATTTCTAAAAGAATCCTTTGAAGATGATAATGAAGACAACAAGCTGGTGCATGTTCAGGCTTTCACCTTGGCCCTTCATGTAGAAGGTTT